TGACTGATATGGTATGTGTGACAATATGTGAGACATACCAAAATAACTATGAATTATGGAGAATGCTCTGGATTAAAGCTCTTCAGAGAAAATGAAGTATTAGTTTAAATTACTAAAGAAGCTACTTTGAGTGAAGTCCAGCATGGCAGGAAGTAGGCCAATATGAAAAGCAGTGAACAAGAAGAAAGGCTAAATTGGAGGTTGTTCAGAGATTTGTTTGTTTGACTGGCAAGATTGGTATGGAATGAACAAGCCATTGTTTTCCCAGACCTTAGGGTATTTTCTGAGGCAGAGGCAAAAAGCTCTTAACTACTGAAGAAATCCTTTCAAAGTCTACACAGGCCAATTTAGATCCAAATGCAACTTTAATCACTAATCTAAAATTTAGCTCTTAAAACTTATAAAAAATTCTTTTAAAACATTTAGTTTGATAAATATTTTATCTTGATAAAGTTACATGATATATAACCATCACCAATGAAGGTATGGGCAGTATACTCTCCCCATGACCCATTCACATTAAAATGTTTTTTCGTTCTATATTCTTTGATGATTTAAGTTGCTTTCCCCGTTTCTTTTCCTTTCTTCTTCCCTCCCTTCCTTCTTCCCTCCCTCCATCCCTTTCTCACTCTTGCTCACTTGCTTGCTTCTTGCTTTCAAGAGAACTGGGGCTTAAACTCTAGTTCTTGTGCTCATACTTGGCCTTTTTTACTCAAGGATGGCCTTCTACCACTTGAGCCACACCTCCACTTGGCTGGTTCATTGGATATAAGGGTCTCTTCATTTGTTTCCCTAGGTTGTCTATGGACTATGATCCTGACATCTCAGTCTCCCAGGTAGCTAGGACTACAGGTGTGACTCACTAGCCCCCAGCTGAGTCAGAGTTTCTTAAACTCACCACTCATGGCATTTCAGTTTGCTGATTCAAGGGGCTGCTTTGTGCACTGTGGGGTGTAGAGTGGAATTCCTACCCATTGCTCACAAAACATTGCTCACAACTTCTGCAAACAGCAAGCCAAAATGTCTTAGGGAAGGTGGGAGGAGGGGAGTGGAAGGGGATGCCAAAATTGTCTCATTCTAGAGACTCCTCAGTAATACTAAAATTACATAATGGCTCTTGCCTCAGCACCCCACTCACTACTCACAGTTTGGAAGGGATGTGTAGTGACCTGAAAAAAGGGGACCGTGTTATAATAATCCCTTATCTATATGAGAGTCCTGTCATCATCTAGTTCTGTTCCTAGTCATCCAATGTTCTCATAACCCAGGCACTAGTGGTTTACACACTAGCTAATTAGGATGCTGGAGGACTGTGGTTCAAGACTAGCCCAGGCACAAAAGGTCACTAGCCTCCATCCCCAAAATAACCATCAAAAAGCTGGGCTGGAAGCCGGGCACTGGTGGCTCATGCCTCTAATTGTAGCTACTCAGGAGGCTGAAATCTGAGGGATCGTGGTTCAAAGCCAGCCCGGGCAGGAAAGTCCAGGAGACTCTTATCTCTAATAAACTACCAGAAAATTGGAAGTGGCACTGTGACTCAAGTTGCAGAGTGCTCGCCTTGAGCTGAAGAGTTGAGGGACAGTGTCCAGGCCCAGAGTCAAGCTCTATAACCAACAAAGAAAAAGCAGGTCTGGATTCATGGTTCAAGAGGTAAAGCACAGTCCTGTAGGGGGCGTGTTCTCTGGAGTAAGGAGAAAAGTACCGTCTCTTCCCTAAAGAGTAAAGAACATCATAAACCATATCTCCACTTTTTGGTGGTTACTTGTAGAGTTTAATGGACTTTCATGCCCTGGCTTGCTTCAAACTGAGATCCTCAAATCTCAGCCTCCTAAATAACTAGGATTATAGGAGTAAGCAACAAGTTCCCTGCAAGGACATTTACTGTTGATCAGTAAGTCAATACACAGTGCCAACCTCTTCACTAGTTTATCCAATAACCCTAAAAGATTTGATGCTGGTCTCAGTATGGCAATATACTGAGGTTGGAACAAAGACTAGTAGAAGCAAAGTGGGAGAAATGGGGTGACAGAGAATTACTATTGCAAATTTAGAAAACTGAGTCAGATGAGGCAGTTATACAGTTGGTCAGATTGTAATGAATGAGGAAACAAAAAACTGGTCTGAGGACCAAAGTTCACAGAACCTTTATTATACACGAAATCACAGTGACATTTATATAATGAATCCATATTCAGGATAAGCAGTAAAGAAGCATCTAAGGACAGGCTTATTTTGGACTTCTGTAGCTTGAAAAGGTCATTGCTTTGGTTCAATACATTGATGTGGAAAAAACAATGAAGTAATTCAGTGTATCTTCCCAAAAAATAAAAAAGGCTTTTAAGATAATGAAATTCTTGCTTTTGAACTAGACAATAACAGAAATTAGAATTGTATTCATTTTTGTAGTATGACCTCATACTTCTTCTCAACTCAGGTCTAATGAGGCAGATTTGAAACTTTAAATTTTGCAATTAAAATAGCTTACATCATAGTTAAAATTTTGTCTATGCTTATCTAGACATCACTGTCAAGGGATAAGTATAACCAAAAGAAAATGTTATACAGAGCATGGCACTGGTGGCTCATGTTACTCAGGAAGCTGAGACCTGAGGATCGAAGTTTCCTATTGTCAACCACAATAGGAAAGTCCATGAGACTCTTAGATTCAATTAATCATCAAAAAGGGCAGGTGCGGAGGGAGGGGGGAGAAGGGGTGAGGGGGAAGTGAGGCTATAGTTCAAGCTAGCCTTGAGTAAAAAAAACAAACACAGGGACAGCACCCAGGCCCTGAGTTCAAGACAAAGAGGGAAGGAGGGAGGGAAAAGAGAAAAAAGAAAAGAAAGGAAAAGAATAAAGACAGGGAAACGGAGGGAGAGAGGAAGAGAGGGGAAAAGGGGGGGAGAGAGAGTTATAGAAAACTAGACATATGACTCCTCAAGTGGTAGAGTACCAGAAAGAAAAGCTGAGGGCCTGAGTTCAAGCCCCTATACTGAAACAAAAAAATCAGGTAGGCATCTAAGACAGTAAGTACATGATAGTCATATATATACCACTATGAGTATAGTTAGGAACAAGAACAAAATGACAAATATCTCATAATCTAGAATATTCTATTTTAAACTCATTTGAAAGCTGTTTTCTAGAAATCCTCAACAAAGAGAATTTCAAAGAACACCAGCTTTTTTATAATGCATTCTCTGGTATACATTTTTCTTTGCAAGAATAGGAAAGTGACCAAAGTAAACATAAAATAAGCAAAATGGAAATGGAGTTTTCCAGAATAGTAATTCTAAAAATGCCCAGTACTGTTTTGACTGAATGTTCAGTATTCATTATAAAAGAAAATCTATTAAGAAGAAAATGTACATTAAAATAATGCAGCTTAGCTTTCATGGGTTTTTTGTTTGTTTGTTTTGTGCTGTTATGGGGCTTAAACTCAGGGCCTCATGTTCTCACTCAGCTTTTCTACTCGCAGCTGGTACTCTACACCACTTGGCCCACAGCTCTACTTCTGGCTTCTGTCTGGATAATTGGAGGCAAGAGTCTCTTGGGTCTGTGTATACAGGCTGGCTTTGAACCATGATCCTCAGGTCTCAAGCCTCCTGAGTAGCTAGGATTACAGATGTGAGCCACCAGTGCTCTGCATATGTTGTAATTTAAAAGGCCTTAAATTCTACCATCAAAAACAATTGTTTTAGCTAGGCCATGGTGGCTCAAGCCTGTAATCCTAGCTACCCAGGAGGCTGAGATCTGAAGATCATAGTTCAAAGCCAGCCAGGACGGGCAAGTCAAGAGACTCTTAACTCCAATTAACCACCAAAAAGCCAGAAGTAGTGCTGTGGCTCAAAGTGGTAAAGGGCTAACCTTGAGCAAAAGAGCTCCAGGACAGGGCCCAGACCCTGAGTTCAAGCCCAGGACTGACCAAAAACAATAACAAAAAATGTTCTATGTTCCTTGAAGTTAAAAGTTTAATGGAAATTTATTTGCAAAACCAAATGGCCAGTGAACAAAAGAGAGCTTTCTACCATTACACTTTTTTCTTTATTGGCCACTTAATCCTGAATGGAGGGATGTTGACTTTTCATTTCTGTGGATGACATTCCCTCAGGACATTTTCAAAAGCCTTGTGCTTAAACATTATCTAATCACATTCTTGATAAGAATGTTAAGCTAAGCGCCATTTCAGAATTGTTTTCTAGATCCTCCAACCTAGAGTAACTCATTTCTTACTGGCTAGTTCCAAACACAGGCCCTGAGCTATGTTAACTATAGGCATGAAGAGGATGACAGTCTTCTTAGTGGATGCCCAAACACCTTTAGCCTTGTGAAAAGAAGCACAAGACAGCTAGACACCAGTGGCTTACCCTTACAATCCTAGCTAGTCAGGATCTGAGGATCTCTGATCAAAGCCAGCCTATGCAGGAAAGCCCATGAGACTATCTCTAAATATGGAACTGTGGCTCAAGTGGTAGAGCACTAGCCTTGAGCTAAAGAAACTCAGGATCCATTCCTGGCGCTGAGTTCAAGCCCCAGGACAAGCACGTCCTTCCCCCCCCCCCCCCAAAAAAAACAAAGAAAGAAAAGAAATACATAAGTGCACCACTATTTTCAGAAGAGAACAAGCACTGGCCTCTGTCTGAGAAGGGTTATAAGACTGATACTTGGCTGAAATGTGAGGATTGCAGTTCAAAGCCAGTCTGGGCAGGAAAGTATGGGTGATTCTTACTCTCCAATTAACCAGCAAGAAGCCAGGCTTGAGCAGAAAAAGCTAGGCAAGAGCACCAGGTCCTGAGTTCAAGGCCCAGTATCAGCATACACAAACAAAAAGACTGACATTTCTTTAAAAAATAATTCTTCTGAGTTGACCCTTTCATAGTTTCAAGTTCTCTTTGTGTCATCATTGTTCTGGGTGGCCCTCAGTGGTCAGCAACTCACTGAGACCCCATCACAGTCCCCCTCCCAACACCATCCCTCCTTCCCACCCCCTCCCACATGCATACCTTGTGGCTTTGGACTTGCAGCTGAGCGATTCGCTGGTGTCTTCCCATTTATTCCCTGAGCCTCTTCAGATACATTCGGATCAACCAGTGTGGTTGTGCTGCTTGTTGAACAAGGTAGAACAACACTGACCTTTGGACAGGTACTGCTGCCTGTGGGTTAAAAAAAAGAAAGCACAGATAAATACAGGGGGCCCACACAACCCTTGTCTTTGCAAGTTAAGCTTCTCCAGATCCCAGAAGACACCAACAGTCACAGTTACAGGATGAAGCATGGAAATAACTTTGCGGCTATGTGCTGCCCTTGACAAAGAGCTTTCCTGGGTGAGATCTGTGCTTTGGATACCTTTAATGCACACTGAGCAAAGACAGCTACACATGCACCTTTCCTTCTAGGGACACAGAAAGGCAGAACAGCTGCTGCAATCTAGGCCACCCAGAGGATGGGAGGGGCACGGCTCATCTGGTAAAAGTGTTTCTTTCTCGTGTCCAGTCAGCCACCAGTCATCAAGCAGAAAAGCACCAATCAGACAGCTGACCTTAGGGCTCTAGGAGAATGGCTCAAACAGAAACAAACAAATGTACATCTGCTACGCTCTCCCCCACAAGCTTACTCACAGTTCATCCACAATCCATGATAAAGGCAAAGAGGAACCCAGAGTTTCCACAGATAACAGTGAGATTGTACTGACAACATTGTCCAAATTATTTACAATCAAAGCCCCTCCAAAGATTCTTTCAAACAATGCTGAAATGTACCATGAGAAACTTATGAAAGGGAAAAGATTAGTCTTCCATTTAGCTCCTTCCTTCCTTGCCTCTCTCCCTCCTTCTTTCCTTCCTTCGTTTTAGTTTCAGTTCTCAGGCTTGAAATCAGGGCTTCACACACTTGTTTTTTAACTCCATGCTGGTGCTTGACCACTTGAGCCACACTTCCACTTCTAGCTCCTTGCTGCTACTTAATTGGACATAAGAGTAACAATAAATTTTTTGCCCATATCTCAGCAGCTGGGATTATAGGCATGAGTCATGATCTGGCACCCAGCTTCTGATACAAGAAACTGAACTTTCAGTCATGGGGCTTGAACTCAGGACCGAGGTGCTGTCTCTGGGCTCTTTTGCTCAAGGCTAGCGCTCTACCACTTTGAGCCACAGCACCACTCCTGATTTTTGAGTAGTTATTTGGATATAAGAGTCTCACAGGGACTTTTCTGCCTAGGTTGGCTTTGAACCACAACCCTCAGATCTCAGCCTCCTGGGTAGCTAGGAACACAGGCATGAGCCACTGGTGCATGGCTCATAGACTTTGAAATGACTCTTTTTTTATACACTCCATTTCTTTCTCTTGAGGTTGACATGGTGGTATTAATAATAGACTTAACTCGTTATGTCGAAAAACAAACTACAACTTTGTTGGGGGTGGGGAAGATGTGAAGGGATGGGAAGGGGAAACAAAGGAGGAGGCTACAATGCTTGATAAGAAATGTATTCATTATCTTGCCCATGTAATAGTAACCCCTCTGTACGGTATTTTCACAATAAAAAAATACGCTTATAAAATAATAGACTTAACTACTTCCAAGAAAACAAAAGATTTTATTGGTATGTATTGCTGTAGAAAAGGGCTTCATTTTGAAATTTCCATGTTTTTTTTTTTTGTTTTTTTTTTGGTCAGTTGTGGGGCTTGAACTCTGGGCCTGGGTGCTGTCCCTCAGCTTTTCAGCTTGAGGCTAGCACTGTACCACTTGAGCCACAGCGCCACTTCCAGCTTTTTCTGCTTATGTGGTGCTGAGGAATCGAACCCAGGGCCTCATGCATACAAGGCAAGTGCTCTACCATTGAGCCACCTTCTCATCCCTCCATATGTTTTTTGATTATATTAAACCTTCCTCTCTATTACGCTTTCTTTTTTTTTGGGGGGGGGTCCGGTAGTGGGGCCTGAACTCTGGGCCTGGGTGCTGTCCCTCAGCTCTTCAGCTCAAGGCTAGCGCTCTACCACTTGAGCCATAGCGCCACTTCCGGCTTTTTTCTTTTTGCTTATGTGGTGCTAAGGAATTGAACCCAGGGCCTCGAGCATGCAAGGCAAGCGCTCTATTACTGAGCCACCTTCCTAGCCCCTCTATTACTCTTTCTTATCATCAACATCCCTTTCCTTTTAAAAATATGATTTTAATGAGTTCCATTATGCTATTTTCATAAAGGCATATAATGAACAAATAGCATAGTCTCCACTTAACAACAAAGAGAAAATAAAATTTCTACCAAGAATTCACTGTAATTGAGTGAAAGTAAGCTATTTAAGCAATTATTATTTGGTTAAGAGATAGCTTCACATTTGCACAATTCAAATTTCTAAAACAAGAGCTATTTGAGTTTGGGGCTTGTTTTTTTAATGTATTTTATTCTACTTTCTGAACTTCAAAATCTTGTATACAGTTTTTTTGTTTGTTTGTTTGTTTTTGGGTCCAGTCGTGGGGCCTGAACTCTGGGCCTGGGCGCTGTCCCTCAGCTCTTCAGCTCAAGGCTAGCGCTCTACCACTGGAGCCACAGCACCACTTCCGGTCTTTTTTCTTTGCTTATTTGGTGCTGAGGAATCGAACCCAGGACCTCATGCATGCAAGGCAAGTGCTCTACCACTGAGCCACCTTCCCAGCCCCTGAACCTCAAAAGCTTGTAAAAGGCATGTTCAGCTAAGTTTCCAGTGCTTCTTGATCAGTCACCGTCCCATCATTCTCCCTCTTGAGGAGTTGTTGTTGTTTTAACAAAGAAAAAAACCCTCTTGTTCTATTTCTTTTCTTTTTTTTTTTTTTTGGTCGGTCGTGGGGCTTGAATTCTGGGCTTGGGCACTGTCCTTGAGCTCTTCAGCTCAAGGCGAGTGCTCTACTGCTTGAGCCACAGCGCCACTTCCAGTTTTCTAGTGGTTTATTGGAAATAAGAGTCTCACACACTTTCCTGTCCAGGCCGGCTTTGAACCTCCATCCTCAGATCTCAGCCTCCTGAGTAGCTAGGATTACAGGCGTGACCCATCGGCATCCAGCTTGTTCTATTTCTTGAAGGGTTGTTTGTTTGTTTGTTTTTTTGCTTAAAATCACTCAAAACACTAAAAGTTAACTTTTAAAGCCCAACCAAGCTGGGTACTGGTGGCTCACACCTGTATTCCTACTCAGAAGGATGAGATCAAGGATCAAGGTTTAAAGCCTACCTGGGGAAGGAAAGTCCATGAGACTATCTCCAATTAACCACCAAAAAGCCAGAAGTGGAGCTGTGGCTTAAGTGGAAAGAGGCTAGCCTTAAGCACAAAAGCTCAGGGGCAGCACCCAGGCATAGAATTCAAGTCCTAAGACTAGCACACACACACACAAACACCATAAAAAGAAAAGTGAGGGAAGGGGTGGGTTAAGAGGGATGGGTGAGAATGTTGAAACGGATGACATTGATCAAGATATATTCATAAATTGCTTTGTTAAATAGCAACTCCTTTGTACAACTACTTACAGGTAATAAAAAATTAAATATGTGGACCAAAAAAAAAAATGCAGGGGCTGGGAAAGTGGCTTAGTGGTAGAGTGCTTGCCTTGCATGCATGAGGTCCTAAGCTGGATTCCTCAGCACCACATATGCAGAAAAAGCTGGAAGTGGTGCTGTGGCTCAAGTGGTAGAGCACCTGCCTTGAGCTGAAGAGCTGAGGGACAGTGCCTAGGCCCAGAGTTCAGGCCCCACGACTGACTAAATAAATAAATAAATATAAAAATGCAGATTTAACTTTAACAGCTGATAGTGACAAAACTGTAAAAGGGAGTAATGTGTTAAATGAAAAAGAAATGTATGTTTAAAAAGTAGATCTTTGAATACCATGTATTAATATATGATATAAGCTGCATGCCAGTGAGCCATGTCTGTAATCATAGCTACTCATGAGACTAAGATCTGAGAATCCAAGTATGGAGCCAGCTCAGGCAGACAAATCTGTGAGACTTACCTCTAATTAACCAGCAACAAGCTGAAACTGGAGGTATGGTTCAAGCGACAGGATGCCAGTTGAGCAAAAAAAAAAAAAAAGTAAGTGGGAATGTGAGGCCCTGAATTCAGTTCTAGTACTGGCACAAAAAATGTTTAATAAGCCACAAATTGAAAACAAAGCCCAAAAGTTGATGATAGAAAGTTTTCTCATTGTGGAGGGGAAGGGGAAAAACAAATCGTTTAAATAAGGATACACGTGGACCCATTGCAACAATGAGATGTACAGGTCATTATGTCCAAAACGAACTTTACAACTTTGGTGCTGGGGGGGAGAAGGAGGATAGGGGGGGATGGGAAGGGGAAACAAAGGAGGAGGCTACAATGCTTGATAATAAATGTAGTCATTATCTTGCCCATGTAATTGTAACCCCTCTGTACAGTATTTTCACAATAAAAAAAAAAAGAAAGTTTTCTCATATGATGGGCTTTATGAATGTACTATTTACAAGGAACATCTCCCACAGGGGTGGTAAAATGCTTTCAATAAGAAATTCAAACTTCAGCCACTATCTTCTGACACACCATAACACAAGGAAAGACACAGAGAAGACTTATTGTGTGTGTGTGTGTGTGTGTGTGTGTGTGTGTTGATCCCAGGGCTTGAACTCAGGGCCTGGGTAGTATACCTGAGCTTCTTTTTTTTTTTTTTTCTTGTCAGTCATGGGCTTGAACTCGGGGTCTAGACACTATCTCTGAGCTCTTTTGCTCAAAGCTAGCACTTCACCACTTGGAGCCACAGAGCCACTTCCAGTTTTTTGGGTAGTTTAATTGGAGATAAGAGTCTCACAGACTTTCGGCCCAGGCTGGCTTTGAACTGCGATCCTCAGATCTCAGCCTCTTGAGTAGCTAGGACTGCAGGCTAAGACTTACATTTTTAAAAGGTTGTTTAAAAGAAATACAACAACAAATACACAACATAGTATGTGGCTACAAGCACACCTCTCCTTACATTCACCACTGGTGTGTATGCCAACCTTGACATGACAAAGTCCACCTAAAACAAGCAGCATTTCAAACAATTAATCTGCTACCATCTTGGACGCAACAATAAACATAAAACTTGCCTTGTTTATGCCCGACTCAGAAAACTTACATTTGGAAGCAATCCTTATTTGGTTGCTGCCTGCATGAAC